GGGGCAAAATTTATTATGGTTTATAATGGCAAATGATACTTTGAATATTACATGTTAATAACTTGATTGGAATTATAACCTTGAGTTGACAGTTTGATACTTTGAAAATTTTGAGCCAGCCCTACCACCAAGGGCTGTAGGGTGGGGCTCAAGGGAGTCAGTGTGCTAAAATTTCTTCATTTTCCTTGTTTAGAATCAGAGGTGCTAGTTTCAAATCCTTTGTCTGAAATCTGTATGCTAGATATTGAGTAAGGTGGTTTTATTGTTTTTTGTCACTTTGAATAATATTTCTGTTCATGTTAAGAACAAAATCAACTCTCTGTATAAATATATCAGGTGACCGTTAAGGCCCATGGGCCTCTTGTTTAGGAAACTATCAAATCAGACATACCAATGGGTGCAAAATCTTGCATTGCTGAAAGTGTAATACGGTAATTGAAGTTCTGTATCGTAGCTGAGGTTCTATCAAAGGGGTCTCCATAGCTGTTAACCTTCCCTCATTTTGACCAAAGTTTACCAATCTCCCCAGAAACTCCCTCACTCAAGTCCAAACTCACATAAAGTCAAAATCTACATCCTATGGTCAGATGATCTCCTAGTTACTGCAGGGTGTATATAATGATCATAACAGGTGTGTCTGAATCAAATGAATGCTTTTTGGAGTTATTTTGATAAAAAAAAGGGTAAGATAAATTGGGTTAGCAGTTTCATGGACTTTCTCCCTCATTGGAAATGAGGGAAATCTCCTCATGGGAGGTTTCATAGGTTGACACCTATGTCTCTTTCTAAAGCCAACTATTCTTGGTGGGTTAATTCTCGATCATGTATTTTTTGTTGTAGCTGATGGTGAATACCAGATGGCAAACAATGTGGTTATCACATGGCTTGAGCGCGGAGACTTGACGAAGCGGAATGTAGCTAACTTCTACAGTCTCATCCAGTGTACTAACTCACAGATCCGCAAACTCCTGGGGGAGAAGAACGAGGCCGAACAAGATGTACAACGGGCAAAGCAGAAGTTCCAGGCAGCATTTGAGGGCATCATTCAACAGTGTAAGTGTCCCGAGTCTGTGGTTCTCCGTCCCTGGAGCTACAAGTCAGTATTGTGGCTGGTCAGTGCCAGATACTTGCTTATCAACAGATGGAATAACAAGCTCATTTAGTTATTGGTTGAGTAGACTTTAAAGTTCAATACTCATCTGTTAGCTCTGGGATTCTACCTATTTTGAAAACATGTGTTATTTATTAATTTGAACTTGACAAGCTTTCCACAGACCAAATTGGAGCCATCAATTAATTTTTATGTAATTTTTACATTTATATGTTATATTCTTTACTGAATTAAAAATCTCCAACCTTTTTGTATGGATTAATTGTGACCCTACTTGGGAGGGGGGGGGGGGGGATAGAATATTTTGCTGCATTTTCCATATTTATTTTATTATAACACTTCAGTATTGAAATTATTGAAATCAAATATTGGTTACTGAATAGAATTTCAAGAATATAAAAGTGTATTTTCAACCGTTGAAACTTTTTGAAAATAGTAGAAATTAAGGGTTTACATTATTGTAATTGATAAGTACTGAATGGTGGACATCATTGTCCTCGTAAGAGCACCCATTGACATCTGTTGGTAAGCATTGTCTGCATTCCATTAAGTCAAGTTCAAGTCTGGCCTTTTGATGGAAGATGTCTCTAGGACCTGAAGATCCTTTGATTTTGCTGTGTACTGATTTCACTATTGACCAGAAAGGAAGAATTATTTCTCTGAATATTAACATCAGCATTTTTTGCTACTCAACTAATTCTGTAAGGTATGTTTAATAATACCGACTACTGTTGAAAGTGAGTTGTGGTAATCGTTGCGGCTTACATTCTGTCGAAGTCACAGGGACTCAAAAAGAGAATTTTGTCGGTAAATGATCCTCTTTCACAGTCATTTGTAATTGTCCATATTGGAATGATATCAATGAGTTCTGGAGAAATGTTTTTGTTTACTAGTGTATCAGATTTTAATTGTACATAGGATTACGGTCGCCTTCTAGCGTAGAGCTAGAGGGAATTTTTCTTTAGTTCAGTGGTAAAGCGTCCGACTAGGAACCTGGAGATCGAGGGTTCGATCCCTGGTGGAAGCACGCTATTCTCTTCCCTGTTACACTAGTAACAATTAGATAAGAAGTGGTAAGAAAACGACACAAGCTTGGACTGATAATCTATGGTAGGTTTGAGGTACAGGGTCAGACTGCCACAAGATAGACATTTCAGGCGGTTTTAATTGAAAGGTAACACACGTCAAGTTTACCAAATTTGTACAAGTTTATATCACATTGAAGTTTTGTTATGGGCAATATAATATGTAAATCTATGTGAAGAAGAAATGCTTGCAACTTCATTTACGAAACCTCGAAGCCAAATTGTACCTCATTTTGAATTAAAGAAATTAAAATTTAAGTGAGTGAATATAAATTGGACGTGAGAGGGTAGAAATTGATTAGTTTCATTGATTTGATATTATATCATGGTTTACAGATCTAGAAAATACATCTTTGATTTTAAAACATAATCAATCGTATACAAACAAATGATGGCAGTTTGAAAAACACACTATTATGGCTTTGTGGTTGTGACATATTGGACAGAACAATACCAGTGAATGGAGATTCATTTCCCAAGTCACGGTAAGGACATGTCATGAAGTTGCAAGCATTTAGGTAAGTATCGTTAGTGAAAAGTGAATTTCCCGTACTCACAAGGTCAAAGAACATCCTCTGGTTAGAAAACATCAAAAGTAGCTAGGAACATATTGAATTTTACCTGATGTGTTGACCTTGGTAAGTACAAACATGTCCTGTCTCTGTGAATTATAATATTTACTAGTAAGTACAGTACTCCAAACCATATTAAATCTAGTAAGTGTTTCTCTGCTCCTGTCGGTATCATTTAATGTAGATGGTTTAATTGGATTCAGTTCAGTTATAGACAAGTATTGTCAGTTCCTATGGTGAGTATACCCGAGTCGTTCAACAACTTTGTAATACAGGAAATCTTATTGGAATTAATATGGAACTGCAGAGGTTCGTTTGTTTTGCCAGTATCCTGGAATTTCTTTTGAAAAACACAGCCAAAAAAAAATCATACAATCTATTTGGAATTCAAAATCCATCATACAAATGCTGTTCTTAAGCAGAAAAATTACCTGAAGTTCTTCCCTGGCTGTCACGATTTGACAACTCTTGTAAATAAAAAGTAAAAAGTAAAATGTGGAACCTTTACAGTATTTGGAGGTGTAAAATAACAACCTTTAATACATTGAGTCTGTTCCTGTCGATGGTAAATGTATAAGTGTGAACTGAATTCTACCTGTGATCAAAGCTTGAAGTATTAAACCCTTACAAGTTATTACAAGTGTCAATCATCTTCTGAAGAAAGCTCTTCCTTCCTTCCAGGATGTAACAGTTCAACTATTAACTCCTTTGTCAGTGTTGGTGAAAAGGTTCAATGTTTAGGTTGGCAAGTAGAAATTCTCAAGATCTGTCTGCGAACTAAACATGAAATATTATACCCAGCCATGATGTCATTGAATGAATTCAGGAGGGCATTAAAATCGATTATATCTATTACATGTATATAAAGTACAGGTATGTAAAACGGACTGATACCTGTTTTTCCGCGTTCAGAGGACTCAGTGCTGTCGGTTTTTATCACAGGTGGAATGGTCAGTAGACAAAGAAAGTCAGTGGATCAAAATTCAACTACAATATCAGCATGGAATGGAAAACTATACACATTATTGAATTTTAAAATGGCAAAACATTATCATTATTAGTAATTTAGTAATTTACATGTACAATGTATATAAAATTATAAAGCAATGTTTAAAATATTGGCTTACCTTTCTTAAATTTTAACAAAAAGTATTGTGAAATCCATGCTGTAAGTACTTGAGTAATCAATTGTCAAACAAGTGCATGATATTTATTGTATTCATGGCAACAGGATTTTGAATTTAAAAAATACGAGACAAATTGTCTATAAATTCAAAGTTATTTTGGAAATGGCAATAAGATACATTTCAACAATTTTGATTTATAAAAAAAGGTGTTTGCCGTGAGTACAGAATGTGATGCAGCTGTCGAAGGCCTAGACCTTTAAGTGCTGTACAGGACTTTATCGTTGAATGTGAATCGCAGACTGGTATTGTATGACGAGGCCAAAGTCAGTCCCAGATCACAGACCCTTAGTCTAATCTATTGTATTTCTCTGTTCCTGTTCCCTTCAAGTCGATCAGATTGAGAGGGTGTTTTCTTCCGCTCTCAAACAGAGGAATTGGGATCATTTTTCTAAGGCTCAGCGCAAGAACATTGAGCTTTGGCACAAACAACTGCAGGTAGGTCTTTTCTGATGAAGGTAGGTGAAAGTCACTAGGTTATCAGTATTAACTAATTTGTTCTTGAATTTCTGCCATGTTTAAAGTCAGTTAAAATTATCTACACAATCCTATCAGGGAGACAGCAAAGCAATCTGTATTCATACATGTAGGTGATCTTTATCGATAGGTTACTTTAAGTGACAAAGCTCCATTTCAGGGATTCTGAAACTAAAGACAGGTGACCTTTAAGCCCAGTTTCACTATCTGTTATGTGCTTCCAAGACTAGTCCAGAACTGAATCAGGACAAATGAATAGATAGATGTTAGTTGTTGAGAGAGTGCAGGAAGCATATTAAGTTATAGTTACTAAAGCTAAGTACATTCACTCCCATCCTCGATATCCAGGGGTTACGCTCACTTTCGCTCTCTGCACCCCTGGAATATGTCATAGCAAAATTGAAGGCACAAAGATAGCTGTTTGATTGGTCTCGGGTAAGAAAAACTTACCAATTGCTAGGCCAATACCTGTCCTTTGATTTACAAGATTTACAAAGGAGAGAAGCCCGACTTCAAAGCATGTCAATTTTAACCGTTAAGTGACTGCGAAATTCTTTTGATGTACCTCAAAGGATCAAACTAGTCTTCTTGTCTCATCAACAAGGTGGCACACACCGAGCCTTCAATTTTGCTATGACATATTCCAGGGGTGCAGAGAGCGAAAGTGAGCGTAACCCCTGGATATCAAGGATGGGTCACTCCCAGGCTATTAGCTAGATTATTGCTATAACATTTGGAGCTAGATTAGTTTTCATTCTGTTATAAATAAAGTAAATGGGTTGATAGTTTGCTCCCTTTAACTAGGTTAGAAGAAAATTCTCAGCTTTTTCCAAATTAAAAATGTAAAATGTAAACTTTGGAAATTTTCCAAAGGAATCAGAAAGAATTAAAACCCCAAGTTTCAGCCTTTTTGTACTCTATGAATACTTATAAGGAAGATGATAGTTTAGGTGTAGATATGGAGAACACTAATAGTTTTACATGGTTTGCAAAACACAAAATAGTTTCGATAAAGTAAAGACGGATGTTCACAGTAAAGTTAAGTTAGTTGAAGATATGGACTACAAGTTATACTGGTAAGATGTGAAAAGGTCAAAAGATGAAATAAGACAACCAGCTGACCTTACATTGCCGCATGATCATAAGTGTTGGTCAAGAAGATGTTGGTTACATCTGATCTGATGACACGGCTGTGGTAAGTACATGTATGACAATCCAGATGTAACGAGGCCGCAGTCCGACACATTCATTTGTTTTTTTATTCCAGAGTTGACATACCAAATATTTATTTCTAGGCTTGTAGTTGAACATCACCTTAAAATTAACTATTTTAAACTTTATTTGAAGATTGTTCATAATTTTAATTACCAGGTATTAATTATCATAGAAGGTAAAAGTTGTTAAGAAGTGGATGAATGCAATGGAGTGTTTTTGTGAAATGGCTATATTATGCATGAAGTGCATCAGAGAGGAAATTTGAGCTACAAATACAAATTTAAAATTTAAATGTAAATATATTTAAGAAAGTGGAAGGGATCAAGAAATAGCTGAATGATGGTTTTGAATGCTTGAGTGGGGAAGATGGGAAAAAGTAGTGTAGAGGATGGGACCCAGCAACAGCTGTGTATATTAAAATATTATAGAAGTAATGATTGAGCTCTGAATGTTTGATGGCGTAATTTTAGAAACCGTGACTACTATATGTACCCGGTTATGTTTAGGTGAAATATGCCACTGGGTTTAAAACTGTACCAATTGTTTGGGGAGATAGGGGGAAAAGCTCTAAAATTGTATTTGGAAGATGAAGAAACAATTTTAATTCTACAGAATGCTTGCATGTCTAGTAAGAATCCACTATAATTCTGTGGAATGTTTGCATGTTTAGGAGATCAAGAAACAACAACAGGAGGAGTTCCTAGGCTCGCGTGAGGAGGACGACATGGAGATGTCTGATAATGATGAGGTGTGCGATCCTTCTGCTGCCAAGAAGAAGAAAATGGACGATCAGATTGCTGCGTCTACCCTACACATACAAGAAAGTAAGTTTGAACAGCAGTTTAATATATTGTTAATCACTTTATTTTTCAGTGTACTTCTTTTCGCAAATTATGTCTGTAGGTTTTATTTACGAAAACTTGAATTCACAATTGAGAGGATGCTATTTTAATAATATATCTATGGAATTAATATTTGTTAAAGATTTCAAATCATGAATAAGTCTCTTTGCAAGTTGATGCATAAAGTAATCTCTGGCGAGTGGCTAGTGATTCAGATAAGTCACCTTTTATACAATGGTGGCTTATATAGCTGTAAAGTTGTTGGCCTCTTACATTAACTTCTTTAAACAGTCTGGATGTTTAAATTTTCAATAAATTACTTGCTTTCCTTATCAAAATGTAGCTGACATTTATGACTTACAAATTTCTTGAATTCCTCATGCTGTATTACTTTAAGATTTGAAGCCATTTCTTGTAATCCCATGTGCTCCATTTAAAACCAGACTTTAAAATGCAATCATAGAACATTTGACTTGCGGTATACTCTTGTTCTACAGAATGAAGTTTAACCTGAATTGATGTAAAAAATGGAATTATTAATTGGTATTGTAATGCTTTGTGCTATGGTATTAAGTTTAAACTGATGTGAATGTGACAAAAACTGATGTGAATGTGACAACAAAAACTGATGTGAATGTGACAAAAACTGATGTGAATGTGACATAAACTGATGTTAAAGTGACATAAACTGATGTTAAAGTGACAAAACTGTCATTGTTTGATAATTTATAATTAAATTTTATTTTAATGCTTTGTGCTATAGTTTTAACTGTTGTGAAATTGACATAAACTGTCATGAAATTGACATAAACTGTCGTGAAAGTGATATAAACTGATGTGAAAGTGACATAAACTGTCATCTTTTGTGCTACAGACCAGCTTATGTTTCTGCGTGAGGATAATGAGGCCCTGAAGCGCCAGGTGGAAGCTTTCCAGAATGAGACACATCTGATTCGCCAGGAGAACAAGGATGCTTTGGTGGAGAAGGATAACCAGATGAAGATGTTACAGACCGTGCTACAAGGCATGCAACAAGTAGGTCGTCTGCTTAGATGTTTATTAGAGTAGAAACTTTGTCCATAACACTTTTGTGTTACTCTTCTTGACTAGTCAAGGTTTTCATGGTGGCAATTTTTTTTTGACTGGTGCAGTATTCGAAGGATCCCATGATTAAGGTGTTAAAAGTACAGTCAAAATTATTATAGTGGCCACCTGTTGTAAACGGCCACCTGTCGTCAGTGGTCACTTTCATTTCCCCATCACGGTAATTATTACATCAATATACTGAAAATAGTAGTCACCTGTCTAATGCGGCTAATTGCAAGTGTGAGCTATTCGATCCATTTGTCAAATCTGTTAAAACACTCAATCAGGTTCTTCTGAAGATGTCGCCAGAATTTGCTGGTATGGATTATGACTTCTTCTGAAGAGTCAAGAGGCCAATAGTTATAATATAAAGCCTGTATCTTGCCTGCATGGTGAATTCAAATGATTGAATAAAGAAATTACCTCAACTGATATTCAAGGCCATAAGGGTTTATCATAAGTTTGTCAAAAAATGGAATGACGTTAATCTGTATTCAAAGGCACAGGGGTCAAATTAATTAAATACATCAATTTCTAAAGTACTAAAAAGGAATAGATTTAATATTAGCCAGTAGCTTGCTGAAAGATTGTGCTAGAAAGTTTGTGAAAAGAAAGGACACTTAAGACAGGCAAGCATCTTCAGGCCCCTTATGCCTCTTTTACATAACTTACATATACATATACAATCAGTACTTAATCAGCAGTCATAGTAAGTTTCATTCATCTGATTTCATTGTCTTTGTCACGATTTCTAGATCAACTAGTTGCTTGTCAAATGTATCACACACTGTTGTACTGTAGGGGTTTGATCTTTTGTTGCCCAATAAAAGACCCAATCACTGCCCACAGGATATTCATCCTGCCAACACCTATAGCTTGTGTATAGTCCGCAAGTGTGTCTGTGTATATGGCCCTTAACAACTTGCCACGTCCACTGATGAGTAGAACCCTGAAACTATCAAAGTCCCCTATGATCAGGTTTCCCACGCTGTCATACACCACACAATGGGGGTTAAATGGTCCACCTCGTGTTTGTCGTGTTTGTTCATATGTACTGGGGATGTCAACTCTAAATACAAACAGTTTTATAAAATCAGTGTCCATGACAACAACTTGTTTTCCATCACCACCACATGTTTTGATATTGAGATCAATCACTGCGACATTGTGAGTGACAGGACACTCCGAGATCCTGTACGGTGTACACACTAATGCTTTCTCAGTCCCTTTAATCGTAGTAGTACACACCATTTTACTGTCTGTAGTAAATTTGGTGATGTGTTTGGTCATCCCCACAATGACATGGTTACTTGCATAAACACAGATACACCTGGGTTCCTCCTTGGTACTGAATCTGTATGTAAGTTGTCCTGATACCAGCTCCATGATGTTGTTTTCTGTGTCACAAACCCACAGTGTGTGTGTTGTTGGTGACAGGCTTATGTCTTTGATCTCCACCTTGTGTTTGATTTCCCGTATTTCTTTGCCCTTCCTGTCCAGGAGATTTAATGTGTTATAACCTGGTCCACACTCGACCATCAGTGGTGGGACATATAGAATCAACGTAGCATGGAGACTCCCACTCCTCCACCACCCTGGTCGGTGATTGTAATTTGTACATCGTCACTGCTTTCTTCCTTCCTGTGGCTTCTGACAGGTGTTGTTGCAGTGTAGAGGATTGTCTCTCATCATCTGATGCTGAGACTGCCCGATCCTGGTCAGTTAAAGGTTGACCTTGACCTGAGGTGCTGACTTTTCCCAGGGCTGCTTTCAAGTGACGTTTAGGGTTTTTGTTTGGAGTGAAGCTAAGCAGTACCCAGGTCAGGTTTTACAGGTAGACTGGTAGCAGAATGGATCTCACAAAATGCATCATAAATTTTTATGAGAGAACCGTGCTGAAGTGCTGCTTTGCATTCTTGAATTTGTTGCTTGAGTTGCTTGTCATACATCTCCAGGTCTTGTTTGTGTTTATTGATTAACTTGTTATTATCCTCCTCCATTTTGTGATAAAGAGAGAGTGTCTCTGTTGTAAGCTTATCCAGCTCTTGTTTTAATGTATCTGTTTGCTTTTTCAACTTTTGTGACAGATTCTCAAAAGTACTTTTGTTGTCTTTAAGGAGCATATCAGCAGAGGTGATGTATTTTCCAATTTGTAGAAGGTCATTTTGCTTTGTTCTGTCCATAAAGTTTTTTAAGACTTTTTTCTTTTGAGGAATAATTTCACTCAGCTTACAAACTGTATGACTTTTGTGAACAGAAGAAAGGCATTTTAGACACACAAGTTTCTGACATTTTTCACAATAAAAATCCAGTTTTCTCCTCTTGTGGTAAAGACAAGTCGTCTGACCTTTCATACGGATTGGTATTTGGCTTTTAGCGGTTGCCATTTTGATGAAAAGCTAACTCCTTTGTTGAAATCTTGCTAACGTTTTATGTTCTTGTATAAATAGATTGTCATGAGTTAACACAGTCATAAATCAGAGTAAAGTTTTATGCAAGAGAATGAAACTTCTTTTTCCATCCAATAGCAAATGTTTGTTAAACATTTAGCGGTGTAAAACCACTGCAGAGTAACTCTCCCATGGTCACTGATGTTGTAGGGTTACTGTGTTAATGAATCCAAGGTTTCCTTTCCACACTTTATAGGAAATCAATCATAATTTACACTGTCCATATCTCCCCGAGTCTTGGGTTTGCAGCCAAATGAACTTCCCTCTTGCTTTGTTGATAAATCTGTTGCTTTCAGGATGACAGTTTTAAGTTTTTAATAGAATTTGAAGTCATTTGCCTGGCTGAATTTGAGTTTTTACAGTAACTGTTGAGTAAAACAGAATATTAAAACGCAAGCATTAAAACCACTTCCCTTTTCTTATTTCTTGTGCAGCAATTGATCCAGACTCGGATGCAGATCAAAGAAATGGAGAAGTACAAGGCATTGGCCTCTAAAGTAACCAGCAGTGCCGGAGAGAAGTCCAAGGAGAAGGAAGCGGACAAGTCTGGAGACAAGTCTGGAGACAAAGATAGTACGGGGGACAAAGACAGCACTGACGACCAGACAGACACGGCTACAGATACCAAGGACACCAGTGCAACAGAACAGGTAACTGGTTTTAACGAGATGAAATGAATGATTTCCTGAATAATTTTTTGGGCATATTTATATGTCCTGTGATACATACTGTAAAAGTTGAAATTATCATGTGTGGAAATTCTTGCGTTTTTCGTTAAGCAATTTAAGACTAAAATGGCCATACGAAAATATATGTACATAATAGATATATATTGAATATATATAAATATACAGAAATCAGTTGCAAAAGTCGCAATGGAAACATTTCCACACACAAGAGTTTCTACTTTTACTGATATTGTTCATGATGAGGTAACAAATGCTGATAAACAAGTCAATTTTAGTCATTGAAGTTGGTATTCATGACCAATTTAGTGACAGGCTAGTCTTAATTTAAATGAACCAGAAAGCTATGCTGGATAGGTACAACCATTGCAGCACATGACAAGTGTTTAATAACACACTGCCAGTGTGATGTAGAGGATGGGCATCAATGTGTACGACACACAAGATTGTGATAGTTGGGATCTCCATCTTTTCCTATCCTATCTTTATTTGTATTTCTAGTTTTGATCTTTGTACATTGTTATGCCTGTCTTGGCATCGCCTCCCTTTTGGGTGTATAACAGAACCATATCTTACAAGGGTGTGGTCCATGGACAGGGAAATCTCAACCCGAGGATAAGGGTTTGAGATTTCCCTGTCCACGGACCATACCTCTGTTTGATTCTTTGTCACCCATACTCGAAATAAACATGCCAGTGTCAGTACTGTGTCATGTTTATCTTCTCACGGGTCAATTCCTGTCTTTCATGGGCAAGTTTGGGAGAAAATGGGTTCCGTCCCAAGGGTGGGACATACAAGAGCACCTGAAATGTTTGCAGTTAATCTCTGTGAAATGTTTAGAATTAAGGATAAGCACAATGACTTGTTTGTTTACATTATAAATGTATGAATGTATAGACCACAGTGCCCCGTCCTTCCTAACCGTTGCTTATAGTTATATTATAAAGGATCCCAGTATCCCGAAACCTGTAACTACGCTTGCAAACTTTTTTTCCAGGATGACTGAGGATTTTTATAAATCAATTCTGTTAAGAAGACCATACCTTGTGGGATTTTAATGAGGAAAAATAAAGATGAAATAAACAAAATACGTTTTGTATCATCAACAACTGCTTTAAGCGTAAGAATTTAGTGGGGCTGGACTGGGATTCAAACTCTGAACTTCAGATTGTTATAATATGGCTCTAACCGTCTGAGCTACCTTGTCAATTTAAGCATCCCAGACCAGTTATTTCAAAAAAGAAATTAAGGGAAGGTTACTGATAAACAATAAAACACAGTGCATTGGGACAGGAATCCTTCAGTATATTACTTGATGTTTACAGGCTACAACAGAAGATATTGAGGAGACAAAGGCAGAGAAGACACCAGTCACAGATATCCCATTCTTAAACTTCTCATCTTTAGTCAGCAGTGGTACCAGTCTGACCATCACCGAGAAGGAGGCCAAGTTGATAGGTATGACATTACTTGAGCTAAATATATATTCAACATCAATGAAGTCTTTTTAACAGATTCACCAAATTTGACGTTATTAGTGAACTTAATTTAACTTACAACAATTATGTAACAAGTTCACATGGGGTCTTCATATTGCTGGATTACCTAGAGAATGGTCGGGGAAGGTGACCCATACGTTTTCATTTCTTGTCTGAAATCAAACTCCTGTCATACTGGTAAAAGGCGAGAGCACTATTCACCTCGCCACTCCACCACTCATAGTGGAATTAATGAAATTAGCAAGTTCTTACGTAAATGAAATGGATATACAAGCAGGTTGTTGAACCCTATGATTAAGCAATATTAAAACACAAAGTGTGCAATACATTTTAAGTAGTTCACTGAGAAAAAGACTTTATAATCTCCCTGGGCACTTTGCAATTGAGGAAAATGATAAAGATTATAGATTCTTCCAAAATTCTCAAAATAGTGTATCTATGCACAATAGACTCCTTTTTATCCCCCCGCTTTCACTGAAACGGGGCATATCAATTTGGGTTTGCCCGTCTGTCTGTCACGGTTTGTTTCCGTGTAATAACTACAACAAATGTTCACCGATTTTCTTCAAACTTAGTAATAGGGTTACAGCCTTAAGGGCTCGCCAAGTTCGATGACCACTATCAGCGGACTTTATTTGACATAATTAAGGCCCCTTGAATAACGAAAAACATACTTATCTGTTCATTAACTCTCTCAAATATTATCCGATTGTCTTCAAACTTAGTTACAGGGTTCAACACATTAAGGGCTCGGCCAAGTTTGACAACCATTTTAATCGGAGTTATGGTCCCTTGATTAATGAAAAACATCATTATCTGCAGTTTCCACTTAATAACTCTAACAAATATTAGCCAAATTCCTTCAAACTGGATATCATTGTTTGTGTTCCTCTGTCTTTCCACCCATCTCAGGCACTCTTTGGTTTTCGTGTGATAATTGCTGTAGATATTGTTCAGATGTTTCAACCAAATTCTACTCATGCCAAGTTTGCCAACCGATGTGATTTGTGCATATTTACGGATTATCAATGAGGTATAGGGCTGCTTTTTTTCTTCAAGTTTCAAGCTATACATTATGTCTCAACAGCACTATACTCACATGTTTTACCTCAATAATGTTAACCTACAATATGTCCTGCAAGCGGGGGATATACATTCCACGAATTTGCTTGTTTTTCATGGAATTTGGTGATGAAATGTGGTGAAAAGACAGGACTCTCAGACTAGAGTAAGGTATAAGGAGCGTGTATTAAGTAATTCATGGTAGGCATGTATAGTATATATGCCATAGTGACAAAGTTTATCTGCTGTTCTGACCTTTGACCCTTGATTGTAGGTCTGATCTGCTGTTTCCTTCACGTCCATCCTAACGGGGCAAGTGTCGACTACATCTGGTCCTACCTACACCAGCTCGGCGTATCGTCACGCACCAGTGAACTCGAAGATTTGATGGAAAGATTACCAGTGCTGTTCAAACTTGTGATGTCCGGTGTCGGGGCTTCCATCGAGAAGAGATGGCAGTTTCTTGGTTATCAGTCGAAGACAGTACCCTTCTTCTCCATGGGGTAATCTGGACACGAGTCACAATGGGACGGGATCACAGCATCAGTACTGAAGCTTTAACCAGCTTAAAACAAGACGAACTCTAACATTGTTTCAATGGAACATGTTACTTGTGGTATCCAACCACAAACAGGAAGTGAATAATAACATTGCTACTGAAATGTTGTGAAATTTGTCACAAATTGAGGCTTCATTTGACAGAAAAGAGCTCCAATGTGAAGTGGATTGAGTATGGAGATGCACTGATTTTTGAGTTTCTGTTTATAGCTACAGGACTTTTATTATGTGTTCTATCATATTCTGATATGTATTGTAAAGTGTGTGATTGTTTGAAAAAAACACCACAAAGGTATGTATTTCAATCACAAACATGGTTATGGAGTGGGGTGTGTTCTTTAAGGGGTTGGGGGTAAGGGATATAGTAGCAGGTTAGGGGAGTGTTTTAAGGGGTTGGGGGTAAGGGATTATAGTAGCAGGTTAGGGGAATGATTTAAGGGGTTGGGGGTAAGGGATTATAGTAGCAAGTTAGGGGAGTGTTTTAAGGGGTTGGGGTAAGGGATTATAGTAGCAGGTTAGGGGAGTGTTTTAAGGGGTTGGGGGTAAGGGACTATAGTAGCAGGTTAGGGGAGTGTTTTAAGGGGCTGGGATAAGGGATTATAGTAGCAGGTTAGATGAGTGCTTTAAGGGGCTGGGGTAAGAGGGGTCTTGGGGGGAGGGGAATGAAGGATGACTGACTGATGTGAATGATGGATGTGGAGTATATCGTAAAGAAATTTAGTTTGACAAGTAGAATTACAATGACTTGCCAGATTGACAGTGTGTAATATTACTGTTAAGTGATGTTGTTTAGGACCAAGATGAGAAGCTTTACTGTGGTATATTACCACTATGTGATGTGAATGTTATTATCCACTGTACACATCAGGGCTTGTCCTACACATCAGGTCTTGTCCTACACATCAGGGCTTGTCCTGTCCTACACATCAGGTCTTGTCCTACACATCAGGTCTTGTCCTACACATCAGGGCTTGTCTTACACATCAGGGCTTGTCTTACACATCAGGGCTTGTCCTACACATCAGGTCTTGTCCTACACATCAGGGCTTGTCTTACACATCAGGGCTTGTCACACACATCAGGTCTTGTCCTACACATCAGGGCTTGTCTTACACATCAGGGCTTGTCCTACACATCAGGTCTTGTCCTACACATCAGGGCTTGTCTTACACATCAGGGCTTGTCCTACACATCAGGTCTTGTCCTACACATCAGGGCTTGTCTTACACATCAGGGCTTGTCCTACACATCAGGTCTTGTCCTACACATCAGGGCTTGTCTTACACATCAGGGCTTGTCACACACATCAGGTCTTGTCCTACACATCAGGGCTTGTCTTACACATCAGGGCTTGTCCTACACATCAGGTCTTGTCCTACACATCAGGTCTTGTCCTACAAATCAATGTAATATTGTAAAGAAAACTTTTGTGGAAATATTCATAATTGTTTGAATAATAATTCATTTCTCCTTTTTGTAAGGAAGTTTGTTTGTATTTTGGGACACAAACATGGAACTCCATAGATAAATCATTATTGTAAGCTCACTAGTTCAAATATAGAGAAAACACTGGATTTCATGACAGAGGTAAAGATATAAACAGGCAATCGTTAAATGGCTTTGATACTATCTTAGGTCATTATAGGATTGTTATGGTAGTTCTTACTTCATATAACAAAGTGATGCTTTTGTTCACTGGAATTGTCTCAGCTCTATAACAAACAATTAACTTGCGTCCACCGCGGTTCATTTTAAACATGTTTATCTGTATACATATTTTTGTCATGGAACGATTTATTGTTAAGAAAGCTTCATTTAAAGGTACATGTATTGAAATGTTGATACAGATTTGTAACCATTGAAATCCTGGAATGAGAAGGTAATCAACAGAATCATACATGTGTATGTTCATATCATTGTATATATATAATAAATCGAATACTATGAAGCTCTTGTGGTTGGTGTTGGTTTTACTTCAGAATGTATATGCTACCTTAAAATTTATGTTATATGACACATATTTCATTAAAATTGTTATTTAGCACAGTTGAATGCCAGACAAGAATTTAAGAATGAATATATACAATGATTTAATTCTAATATTTGGAATTATTAAACAAATGCCAATATTGAAGGAAGACAACAAGAGGCCCAGGGGCCTTAATAGCTCACCTGGAATTATTTATTTTAATATAAATCTGTTAAATACCGTGTACTTTAATAGAAGATTAATAGAAAAATGAGCTGTAACAAGTACTGAATCCCTAGGGTCAGGAAAGACACAAAGGATATAAATGTATTCATTTCTTCACGCCAACCAATTTAATGTGAGGTTATAGGGTGGGGATCTCAACTCTTTACATGCTATGACTTGGGGAGTAAGTACCAAGGAGTGAGGCAGGACCCTGGGGCCAATCCTAGTATCCAGAAGATAGATCAGTCATCTCTAAATGGCCAGCAATTGAATATTTGGTTATAGGGTGGTGATATGATCAAGCCATCAGGGTCAAGGTTGGATCCCCAGAAAAATCCTGGTTGCAATTGTATATATGGTTATAGGGACAGGATGTAAAACGACTCCATGGTATGACCAAGAGTAGGTAAAATCTCAATCCCAGCAAGCTTTAAGTTAATGTCAGAACTCTTAGAGCTTTTAGTCTTTGGAAGATGTTTGCAGATTTGACAAATTTGACCCCTGTGGACTTTAATGTAGGTAATGGTCTGTTTACTTTTTGCAAAATTTGTTGTGATCCAACCTAGGATGTTACCAGACAGGATCATGACGATGTTACCAGACAGGATCATGACGATGTTACCAAACAGGATTATGACAACAGACCCTTTGGTTCTTCAGTAGAAGTTGATGAAATTTTTGTCATATCTATTTCCTGTAACTTCAAAATTAGCATGTCATTTTGTTGCATTTTTTTGGGGCCCAAGCCAAGGAAGCTAATAGCCAAATGTGATATCTGGTCGTTTGGTTCCTCAGGAGAAGTTTTTTGGATGTTAAACCTATATTCGACCTCTGTGAAAATTGAAGCAAGTCATGGTTATTTTGGTTTGTAAACTTTGTCAGGCTTCATCTCAAGAAGCTACCAGCCAAATATTACGACTCTAGGCCAATTATTTAGCAAGTTCTCTGTCATATTCCGCCTAACCAACTACTAGTACCTCTGAATCTCAAATGTTAGACCCAAATTGCACAGTTAACATTTGTTTCAGTGTTGTTGTATTTGTAAAACCATTGATGTACTTATTGATTTGAAATTATCAACTGGATGATGGCAGTACCAATTTAAAACACCTCAAGTACACTAACAAGATCTTTGCTAGCTGTTACCTGCACACTTGCATGTATAAGGAACACTGTGAGGTAGTAATTTTCGCCAAGAAATCAACAACTCTTGCTGAAAGCGTATGAATAGCACACATAGTGTGCACAATGTCAAAATTGTACACTATCCCAACAATTAAATTTTTACATTTTCATTAGAGTAACAATTGGTGAATTATTGGTGCCTTTTTGTTTGGAATTTTAAATCCTCGAAACAGCTAAAGCCATATGAAGACTTGACAGAAGTGAGGTAATATGGTACATGATGATTGACTTCAATAAGATTTATCTAAGATCAAAGTTTTACTTTATACACAAACAATTTACAAATGTACGTGTTAAATGTGTCGCAACATTTAAAGACCGATAGGTCCCTTCGTCGAGCTGTGACTGAGTAACACTATGTTATGTGTGTGTACTCTATCAATAGGCGAAATGTCCATGGTCGAGTGACACAAAATTAACAATTTGTCATAGCTTGACAAAGGGAGTCGGTTTTGAAACGTTGCGACACCTTTAACATGTACAGCTGTTGTATTCTAGTATATGGATCACGCATTTTTCAGCGATAAAAAAGATAATGCCACACAAAAGTTTATAGTTGTCAATTTATTTATTTTTCCTATTCACCTATAAATCCATCTTGGCCTCATATTGAGCTAGTATCTGTTTTGGTGTACTATGTCTATAGAACCATGTCCTAGCTACAGGTCGCCACTGGTACAAGGGGACATAACCCAACAGATTATCTCCCTTTAACAAGGGTAGCATATCTCTGCAGAACATTTACACAGATTTCATTTTTCATGATTTTAAAGTTGATACAATGGATACATCACCTGGAAATGACTGTTTTGTGTATAAAAATGATGATAATAACAACAATTGCAGTAATTGTGTTGATGTAAACAACGTTACCACAGGTATAGATATCTAGCGAATAGCATGCAATGGAAGTTTAAAAACACAGCTGGAACATAGTGGAGAATACAAAATGTAAGATAATATGAAAGTGACAGGATTTCATAATGCCCCTCAACAATTGCCTAAGTCTAGGGGAGAAAAAGAAATCAATTAAAAAGTGATGTACTGCACCAAAACAATGACTTGCTGTCACGATTGTAACAAGTAGGTTAATTTATACGAAACCAATCAATGACCTCACCCAAAAGTTACACTTGGATAATGTCACAAGGAAAACCGTTGGCAAATTTGCTGCATATTAAGAATATATTCCTAAAACTGACATCAAAACTTTAAGTTTATATTTAAATTACAGTTTGATCAATCAAAACATTCAACAAGAGAATTCCTGTTGGGTTCTTGAATAGCCAAGTCTAGTTTTTCTCTAAAAGACTCATTGTTTAAAAAATATAATAGAAGAAAAAATATCTACAATAACATTTTTCTTAAAAAGAATATTTTACACCTTGAAAGACCTGCTAGATCCGTGTTAAAGAAATGTACAGCCTAGTTTGACTACAATAAGAAGCACAGTGAGCCAACGACCGTGCTATACACATGGGACAGGGGGAGATAACTCTCGTGAAAGGGACAAGGGGGGAGATAACTCAATGTACATATCAATATATATATATTTATACAGAGTTTGACATTTACACAACATCATATGGATGTAAATTGCACTTTTTGTATGAAACCGATGTGGCAAGTGGATGTTTTTATTGAACATACTCTGTTAAATAGAAAATTATTTCAATTAAAATGCTATCTTTTAAATTTAAAAATTCTAAATTGAATTCTAGTCTACCTAAGGTCTTGGAATGTGTCTACACTACAAATATTATCTCACTCAAAATAGAACGCACATACTGGTAATAAACTCGAGGAAATCTAATAAAATTGTGATATCTCCTCTAGGTTGTCGTTTGACTAGGACCTTCACGACAACATACTTGTAATAACTAAAAGAAGTAGGAACTTGGTTAAGATGAAATCATGATCTATCTATAAGATAGGGGTCCAAGAGAGATTGAGCTATTGACTTTTCCTGAAATTGACAACACACTGGTCAGCAGTTATATATAGTAATGAACAACATTTAATTGACGGAAAATTAATGTAGAGTTTACCATGACAACCTGTATTACTTTGCAGAGTTATCTGCCCTTATACAGCTATCTGTTCCTCAATAAACTCACGAATTCCTACCACAAATACTGATGTCACATGATTTAATTATGCAATTTAAACATGAATATCCTCTTAAATTCCACACATATACGGCCCATACTCACAATGTGGAGTCAATTTGTGAAAAGTTGTCTTGCAATTTTGAAGAAAGTCTTATCAAAATGACAAAGAAGTATGACACATCATATACCTTTCAATAGTAAAATAACGATTTTATATCATGTATCTTATAATTTCATGGGGTTTTTCTCACCAAAGTTGAAATAAAAATAATTTTATATGGCATATTTTATTGGAGACTAATGGGTCTATTTTAAATATGAAAATTCATAAACTTCATCAGACAAAGAGATGCACCTGGAAGACTTTATCATGTCATGACAAATTAAGATCGATATGCACTTTTCATAAACCATTTTCACAGGACATGCTGGATTTCCTTTGAACCTGTTAGGTAACACACGATGTTGCTAGAGGTATTCATCCACCAAATGAATGTTACCCAATTAAGTTTCCTTCTCACTCAATTTATGCTAAGCAGGCTTGGTGAGATAATTACACGATTGATTCATAGATGCCTTCAAAATTTTAGTGCGGTCAGTATGCATTTTCGTTTAGACATCCAAAAGCTGATAAGAGGAAAGTCAAACATACAGAGTTCACATAAAGCTCAGAGGTTAAAATTCTCCAATTCACAATTTATATAAACATCTTGTATATGTATTGTCTGATCGATTGATTGAACACATAGTATAAAATTTGGTCAGGCAAGCCTTTCGCCATGCTCAGTCATGTCATGGAAGTTAATTCAAATTAAGAAATTTACATTCCAGCTGATTTTTCCTGAGATGGCCTCTGAATTAGGCAGTTAGAATACATTCCCCACACACTGTGGCACAGGCCAGACTGCACACATTTTACTGAAATGTTTGGACATGTGATATCAATCAACGTATTATTGTATTACACGTCCTATTTCCCCCTACAGTTTTACGGTCGAGGCCAGGATCAAACTAGGACAGCTGGACAATGTGACAAGTGACGTTAATGTTCACCTAGATTTCATTATAACTCAAAATGTCTAGACTAAGGAGGTTCCACTGTACTGTGTACAATGGAATTTGAAGTGTACTCTGTACCAACGGCTCATAAGGGGACAGTACACTACTCCCAATATCTCTTGCAGTTAATCCTCTGGAATAATTTCATACAACATTATATGCTATCATATGCCGTTACCTTGGTTACAAAATGTTTTGTAAAAGTGGGTATTTTTTGTGTGCGGAAATTTTCACAAATTTGATTTTACAAACAATTTTATTTTGGCTAAAAAACCCTGCTACAGATGAAAATTTCCACCTTGTAAAAACGTCTACTTTTACATAATATATGGTTAAGTATGGGCCCATCTCCAGGCTGATCTTATTGTACATCCTGTATAACTTGTTAAAAAATTAGTTTGGTTTTAAAATATGTTACCGTTTAACTATTAGCGTTAAAAGCCATGAGGCGCTATACACTGGTCTAAGACAATTCGATTCCTTCTAATATCTGATACAATATATAGTACTCAATCCAGTTCTTAAGAGTGATGCTGGGTTGAGGTTTGTTTTGTTCTGTTGTACCTCACACCAATATTCATATAAAATTATACAATTAATAAAATATCCCTACCAACAGTAAATAAACACATGCCAAAAATATGATCGACACTTGTGTTTGGTTATGGTGCCATGTACTTCATGAAGCTCTTGTACAGAGCATTTCTTCCTGGGGTCCACCATGTTGACTCCAAGTTACCACATTTTGTTTGGTGTTTTGGTTTTGGAGTTAGGTTTTGTGCGACTGGTCTTTTTCAATCAGGATCTGTGCCAGCACATGATAATTTATGTACACCACACAGCCTCCCAAACAACAAAAGAAAGACAAAAGGTTTCTCCAGTCCACAGACAACATTCACAACATATAATCTGCACACAGCGTTCTCCCTTACCCACTCACATCCCTCTTTCAGAACCGCCCAGTCTCGGGACAAAAGTAAGGTTTACATGGATGTGAGGATGATCCACATTTACACAATGTAATATTATATATTAATGATAAAACAAGTCCTTTCCGTCTCTCTCCGCCATGCTGTTACCATGGTTACAGTCTATATTTACCGTAGTTACAGTCTATGTTTCCATGGTTACAGTCTATAACAGACCATTATGCCCACCAAATGTTGTGCCACATACATATAACACATTGTTATTATGTATCATATATAAATCCAACTGCACAAGCCATCCATCTTGAAAAATTGTCTGCTCATCAACAATTGGATAACTTTCAGATCACATGACATATATTATCCAATAGGTGACAAGAAAGCTCCTGAATGTGTTTGCTGTGTGCGTTGAGTCCATTGTATGACGAATGGCTCATAATTTCTCCTTCGCGGGCACCCAAATAGTGGGACCGGACTGGTCGCGGATCACTTCCTTCACCTTTGCATAGATTTCATTTGCTGAATCTCCCTGTACAACCGCTGAAATAGAGAGAGACAGTTCAGGGTCAGTAGAGCATGTGTGTCGTACTTGTGACACTTAAAGGTCATAATCTTTAAATAAAAAGAATACTTCTTAAATGAAAGGCATTATCTATTTAATGAGGATCATACAGAGTAAGCAAAGGTCATACTCTGTTAATCATGGTCAAAGGTCATATTCAGTAAGTGACGGTTATAGGTCAAAGGTCATATTCAGTAAGTGAAGGTCATTGTCAAAGGTCATACTCAGTAAGTGAAAGGACATACTGGATGCTGGAATCATACACTGTTTTTTATTTATGTTGCATAATACATGGTACATTTATACTACAAGACAAATGCCACATACCTAATGGTAAAACAAATAATATATATATATTCTTTCTTCTTTGACTACGGTATCAATGAAGCAAGGTATCACATGTCCTATTACAGAAATTATGGACTTGCCAGGTGTTTTGGGCAACCTACCTGTGAAATATTCCCCAAACTCTTGCTCCAGTTTCATTGTTCGTTCATATGTCAATCTAGCTTGTTCTTCTGTGATCCGTTTGTTCATCTCCCTGTAACAGTCGGTAGATAAATTGACATGTATTTTCTGACAACGAACAATGGCAAACAAACAGTGGCAACACCAAAAACTACCTTCAGCTACTCATTGACAAAATACATTTTTCTCATATAAATTCACTGATTTTTTTATCCTTTGACCCGAGATGTATTTTGCTAAGAAGTATTCATTAAACGTTTGCTCCAAAATACACAATCAGTACAATTGCGCTCACAAATACTACTGTCCTCCCAGTTGACCAGGTAATGTATTAGTAGTAGAATCTGAGGTGTAACCTTTTTTCCTTATTTCATTTTTATTCTTGAACAGGCACGGAGTGAACTTTACATTACTGTCAAGCTGGAGTTGGTGAATTCAACACTGCAACAAAATCATTCTGAACAGCCAGAAGTGGGGCAGACATATTGTTAACAGTGTTTAGACCGAGTGACCAAGGTGACCAGTGGTCAGTACTCACATGATGGATGTGGCCGACTTTGGTTTGATTAATACAGCCACTGGGTACAGCCCTGCTACTTGTAATCGCTTGATGGCATTCCCGCTCACATCCAGTATACAGTGCTTTCCCTGCAGACAGAAACATATTTACACTGTATAAGTCATGGACACATAAAACATGACTAACACAAAAGATTTGTACTTTGAACACTCAGACACATGATTGACATCAGGCATTTACTATATACCATGAAACTTTCATCTATTCAAATTTTCGCGGTTCATGTGTAAAATCCATAATCATCCATTTCCATTTCACCTTTCACACGAAGTTTATTGCATACATTTGTTCGCTTTCAAGGTAAATTTAACTTCAATGCACTGGACAAAAGTTTAACAGCAGAAACATTTCCCTGTATACAGTTCACATTAGGTTTCAATGATCCTCCCACCTTGCTGTCTAGTATCCTTTAAACTATGTTAATTGCTCATCCTATTTCCAGGGAAATGCTGAAGTGTTTCCCTGCTACAGGCTATGAACCGAACTATTACACAAATGACATGTAACGTGTTATTCTGTGATCTCCTTGACAAAGGCTTGACAGAACAAGACTTAAGAGTTGCCTTCTTTGCGGTCTACTTGGTTGAGGTTAAAGTCAGCTACAGAAATTTGATATTGTCTGTTATAGCTTCTGTGATTCTCTTGACTCAGGCTAGAAGGAAAAAGAAAAGTTGCCTACCTTTTCTGCAATCTCCTTTACAGAGGCGACACTGGTGCCATACAAGTTGTCATTATATTGTCCCGCTTCTATAAATAGGTGGTTCTGGATGTCGCGTTCCATCTGTTCCCGAGACTCCACAAAATGATAATCTCGTGCGTCAACTTCGTAATCTCGCTTGGATCTCGTTGTGTCTGCAGAAACAAAAACACATTGAAGTTTCTGACCTAAGATACCTGGTATGATGTTATTCAATGATTTCTGAAAGTCTGGTAATGATTTGACATTTGCCTGCAGTTTTTAACAATTATCAAAATCCAAACTCTATAGATTAAAGTCATATTTCAACCTTTTAATCATCCACCATATTACAACTTGCCCATAATTATAGATAAATCATGTAAGAACTTAATAATATTTCAAACCTGAATATGTACATAACAATTTTATAATCAAAATAGTATGCAGATTTTTAGTATTAACTTTCCTAAATCTAATACATGTATAACAGGAAAGAGACAAGTGTGCTTCCTTGGGGATTGACCCAGCTATCCCAAACTTCTCAGTCCAGAGTTCTATCAAATGAGCTAAATAGAAATTCAATCTGTAGTGTGAAGCAAGAAGATGACCATGATCNTCCCCCCCCCCCCCCCCCCCCCCCCCCTTTTTCTCTCTCTTCACAATGAGTTTGCTCTAGGACACAACAATAACCCAGGTTCTCCTGTCGCCACAGGAGAAAGCCACAGACATTATTTTTAACAGGAAAGCTAGATGGCAACTGTAATCCTTAGAACCACAATTAAAACCTGCCACACGAATAACCACTTGAAAAGATAGCATGTACAACATGCAACACTGCATTAATCATTACTGCTTGTGTTATATCTAATGTAATATGTTATAGCAATGAGTTTTCTTGATCTGAACTTACACATTCACTGTTATGTGGAGCAAACGTTACTTACGAGGTACACAGCTTCCGAACTTGTCGGGGAATTCTGAGATGAGATCGTCATTTATTCTATCCTTGAGTGGTCCCAGTACAATCACTGGACGAGTATACTTCACTGTAAAACACAAACCTCATTCAGTCAAACATTTATTAGACATCAATGATCACAGTTACTCTACTTTCATTAAACATTTACCTAACCTTGACTAACATCATAATTATATGTCTTGATTTTTTTTTTTGAGTTTGCTTAGTTACAAGATATGTATTTACCTTTTATTACATACTTACTAATAAATACGGTTTTTTTGTATATGCGATACGACACAATTGCTCTTACCCATATCAGCCCTCACCGTATTACACCCCAAAAGCCGTATCAGCCCCCGCCATATCACACCCCAAAACCAGTATCAGCCCGCATAACCCGTATCACACCCCTTTTGGATTTTTTTTCGTTTTTCAATATTTCAAAAGATTTTTTTTATTCGTAGGTATGTAATAAACAGAATAAATCATGACTTTTTCCACACCCCTTTTTGATTTTTTTTTCGTTTTTCAATATTTCAAAAGAAAGTTATCATTAGATAGTAGCTTTTATTAGTAAGTATGTAATAAACAGAATAAAACATCACTTTTTCCATATCACACCCAGTATCAACCTTCGGCCCTTGGGCTGTTGTTGCAGTCTCAGGTTGATACTGGGTGTGATATGGAAAAAGGCATGTATTATTCTCTATATATAACTAGTCCTACAAAATCTGTTGATGAAATAAGGTTTAATAAAGATAGTGTATTGTTTGACTTATCTGCACAAGGCTAATGTTCAGAAAGATTTGAAATGAAACAGTTTCATTTTCGGTCTTCAAAATAAGCTTGGCCTTCTGATGACAAAGTCAAGGACATCTTCAAATTTTACCCAGATTGACACTGTTATAGATATGACTGGTAGGGAAAACTGATTTTCAAATATCAATGCTACATTAAATCATAGAAACACATATCTTGTAGAACAAGACTAGTTCAAAATCGGTGAAATAAAATAACAAGCCTACACTTATCACATATATAATGGTATAACAAGCCTACACTTATCACATATATAATGGTATAACTTGAAGATGTGTTGGCACTCAGCACTCATTCTACCATTGAAAGACATTTTACATGTAAAGTCATTTTCTGTTAACAAGTCTTTACAATCAACTCCAATTTAAGAATTTTTTGTAAAGGATTATTTTTAAAACCTGTTTCCTTGCCAACCTTTTCTATAAAATCTCATTTATCTGCATATATGTCTTGTCGTAGACTGATTAAATCATTCCCTTTAAAGTTGTCTGAGAAATGTCATGGAAAGATGTGACCTTCATGCAAAAACAAGGACACCATCAATCCTAGTCAGTGAATCCTGTCTCACAGTCATCTGGCTCAATACATTGTTCACTGCTGTATCTATGCAGAGCATGGAAACTGGGAGTGTTGTGGGGATTGAAAATTTGTAAGGACGAGACTTAGGGCAATCTCTGTCACTTCTCCATTATCAGAGGCTTTTATTAAAATCTGCTGATTTGAAAAGTCAGAAATAAAGATAAAAAATATGTAAAGAGATATTGCTGTTAAAATGTTTTTTTTTTGTATTTGTAATTTGTTCATTTCTACTTTAGATGATAATAAAATAGTTTTATATTGTTGAACTTACAGTCTTGTTGTACGACAGCCTCATAGGACAGAATTGGTTCATCGCCTCCTGAAACACAAACAAATAGATTGAACATGGCCGCACACATTTGAAGTGTTTTATCCATCGTCCACTTCTATGTCAAGTCATTTACAATCCCAACTCAACATTCAACATCAACACTGTTAGATCCTCAACACATTGTTTTTTATTCAAATCAAGTTTTCATTATTTGATTTTTGAAAAATCTACTAGAATGAAAAGGACTGAAGATTTTGGTATCTGAATTATCGTGTACAGAGAAGCTAATGATCATCTAAACAATTTGGTCGAAAAAAACAACCTAAATAAAAAACCGATCTGAATAACACATTTACCCGATTATTGTAACAAGTATGATTAATAAAAAAAGAAATAAATTTCTACTGATATCTGTATTAAATCGAAAGTCGATTTTACTGAATATCACAGCATATCACAGCATATCAAACACTCCTAACACTCTAGAATCTACTATGTATCAATACTCTGCTATGACACAATCTATTACAGGACAATCTACTATGTATCAATACTCCGCTAAGACACAATCTATTACAGGACAATCTACTATGTATCAATACTCTGCTAAGACACAATCTATTACAGGACAATCTACTATGTATAGATGCTCCTCTAAGACACAATCTATTACAGGACAATCTACTATGTATCAATATTCCGCTAAGACACAATCTATAACAGGACAATCTACTATGTATCAATACTCCGCTAAGACACAATCTATTACAGGACGATCTACTATGTATCAATACTCCGCTAAGACACAATATATTACAGGACAATCTACTATGTATAGATACTCCGATAAGACACAATCTATTACAGGACAATCTACTATGTATCAATACTCCGCTAAGACACAATCTATGACAGGACAATCTACTATGTATAGATGCTCCGCTAAGATACAATCTATTACAGGACAATCTACTATGTATCAATACTCCGCTAAGACACAATCAATTACAGGACAATCTACTATGTTTCAATACAGACACAATCTATCACAGGACAATCTACTATGTATCAATACTCCGCTAAGACACAATCTATTACAGGACAATCTACAATGTTTCAATACTCCGCTAAGACACAATCTATTACAGGACAATCTACTATGTATCAATACTCCGCTAAGACACAATCTATTACAGGACAATCTACTATATATCAATACTCCGCTAAGACACAATCTATTACAGGAAAATCTCCACAAGGAGACCACTTTTGAGTCTTCCCTTGGATGTGTTTTTTAATACTGATTTGACTTAAGTGTACACATGTGAAAAACCAGTACAAACGAGGGTGATTTCTGCCATCACCTTTCTGGCATCCATTAATTTCAAGTACAAACAAACAAAAAATATATGTCTAAAACATACATAACAGGGAATTCCACAAAACTATCACACAAACAAATACCAGCACGACCTGTAAACCTGTAAGGCTTAGCAGCTCTAACACATCGGAAAATATCATAATACATATAATGCCCTGATTTTGTTCAAGCACTAGAAATATTACAACCTTTATTACAAATCTTCATATTTCATATTTTAATACATTTCTGATATATCAGAGACAAGCAATTTTCAAAAATATTACTCAATAATGTTGATTTTCTAGCTTTTGCCTTTTTTTCTGTCTTCCAACAATTTACTGAATAAAAGTTTCAACTACAATACACTAAATCCAGAAATGTTGTGTTAGTCAAGTTTATATTTCTGTAAGACATTTCCTATTATAATAAGTTGGAAAAGTAACTGTCAAAGATAAGTTCTTTCAAGAAATAGATTACCAATACAAAATTAGTTTACTCATGAATATTCAGACAAGGTCAAAGTGATATAAATTTCTTTTCACCGATATGATTTGCATCTACCAAAAACAATGAAAAAGAACCAAAAAGAAAAATAATTTGATAATCTAGCTAACGGGTTAAGACAGTGGTGTGACTACACGACGATCATCTGTACTAATCACATCCATATATAATAAGCAAAGCACCCTCAGTGATGAAAAATATGGGACTTCCAAGAAAAAAACGAATATTTTTATATTTTACTGATACGTATGGAGAGTAAAGTTGAATTGGGAGAAGACTTATCTACTTGAAGTGTTATACAAAATAGACAAATAGTGGTAAAATTAAATAATATGCAAATAATAATTTAAATGGACAGAAATATATACTCGTATATGAATTTATATCATAGGTAAGAATATAGTATATATCCAGGTAGGTGTAATTCTTTGAATTGAAAATTATGAAGAAACTATTGTAATGTTTAAATAGCTCTAGGTCAACACCATCTTAACAGAACTGTAATTTGAATATGTAAATCAGAACTAATATGAATATGTAAATCAAATGCATGAACAAATAAATGTACTTTTTAGGCAATATAACAGAAATATACACATAGACTTTCAATAAGAACTATTGTCTTCTTAAAAAGGGGAACAATTCGCTTGCGTTTTGATGAAAAACAAACATCCAACTGACCTATATAAGTTTTTGGTGATAATATAAATTTGTTTGGGGTAATACAATGACAAATCATACGAAAACTTGTTTGAAAAATATATAGTCTCAACTTTTCAATTCAATTTATAGAGTTGAAAATAACAGTGTCAGCATTGAAAAGAACTTTAATGACTGACGATCTTAAACAGTTACTTTCCCAAATTTCACTCTCTGATTTTTTTAAAAATCATTTAAGTATATGTATAAAATCATTGTATTTGGCTTCATGTAATTTTTTCTTTGCCAGTTTCAGGAAAGTTCCATAAGAAAATGATTTCCTTAACATGAACTATGTTTTCCCTTTGGAGAAACTTGAAAAAAATCCTGATATATAAAATATTGCTATAATGATTTGGTATTTGACGTGATATTTTCACGCTCTAGGAAGACATACCCCCGACCACACTCAATAGACCTAGAGTTGAAGGTGTGGTCTTAATTTTTGGTGTATAGGGTGCTTTACTTACGGAAACTAGCTTCGCTCTCAGCTGTACCTGTCCGGGGAAAAAACAAAACAATCCCAATCAAAAACAGGCAGGCAATTATCGGCACTAATGAGGAATGGTATGCAAATAAAACAAGCCACTGTGGCAGGCCAACATCGGACGTGACCACGCTAAACCAAACACATTATAATTCTACTCACAATAGTAAATAGACAGCAGGAACAAAACATTTCAGAAAATATTTTAATTTACGGATAAATATAGGAAGTTGACCTGCCATTATCACACGTAAACCACATCCTTAGGGTTCATCAGAGCGAAAAGGAAAATCATTTCTAGATCAGTTTCCTGCTATTTCACTGTATTTATGCAGATTTTTTCTTCTTCAATTCATATTATTTATATACAGGTTTATTGTTTTGAACCAAGGGTTTCTGGTATACTTGAGTGCTTCCCTGTTTGACCTGTGTGCAGACCCTGTATGTTTGCTTCCCTGTTTGACCTGTGTGCAGACCCTGTATGTTTATGTACTGCTCTGATACACCCTGAAGACTCAGTTTCACATGCAGCATTCCAAACCAATAATCAGTGCAAAAAATAGGTTATCAGGAAATAAACACATCACAATACCTCAAAGTACTTCTATATCTAAAATAAGGTACCTTAATTCCCCAACATTTTACATGTATTATAATTATGTTGTGGTTTGTGTCGATATTAAAATGAAGGTTTCACTCTAAAAGTCATCTAATCTAATTTTCATCATGTAATACAGCAGTAATAACTCAGTAGGGTCTAGTTGTTCAAGGAATGTTAGATTAGCAGGAAATGGGAAACTGACTTGATGTTCTCAAGTATCTTCATAATTATTGGAATTTATAGTGAAAAATTTGTGTCAGGATGCAAAAAACATCTTTATACAAGGAAATGATTTAAAACATTTTTTTGAACACTTGTATAATTTCATGGCTAAAAATACTTTACATGAAACCACTCAGTTAAAAGCCCAATAATTAACAGTTCTTTGAACAACTGGTGCTAGATTGATATAAGCATATTACCAACAAGAAACTTACTAGCACAGTAAGTTTGGGGTATTTTTTGGATAAACAGGGATAGGAAGTCTCAGTGTTTTTATGCATAGAGAAAGAAGAAATGAGAGAATTAATTGAGATGTGATATAATGTACAGAATATCAGAAATATTAGGTGACACACTACGTAATGTTGAAGATGAAATCATTGCTGGGTAATTATTTCTGCAGTATTTACAGCTGCATTGAAATTGTGAATATTATACAGATAAAACTTGCATAAACAACTCCAGTTCAATCATAACAACAGATGCCAGGAACTTTTATGAACTAAATACATGTAGTTTGTTAATGTATTACAATGAAAAATATAGCCAGTGTACATGGTACAGTTTATGTTTATATCTGACCGTGAGCTTTTGCATAAATGTAGACTGACCTTGTCCATAACAAAGACCTTTTTAATGACGAGAAACATTATGACACTGTAGTAATGTTAGAGAAAGTTGGAGATAAATCAGAGCCCTGATAAAGGTGACAATATTAGGGAGACGGACAAGATAGATTTATTTCAGCCTCTTTTTCAATAAAAACTTTTAATTGTGTGATGAGTAGGAAGGGTTTAAGTGGCTCCAAAGTTTCCACGGGACATCGATCTCTTAATTGTGATCCAATTGTCTGATTGGCAAAATAACTCAAGGAAGAAAGGCTTGAAACATAATAATGGCAATAAAGAAATTCCGGAGGGAAATCTACGGAGTTTATGTAACTATTTATATGCATATGTATTCCCTTAAGTAGACAAAAAATGTATCTATCTTTTCTTATCTCACAAAAACAACTTTTTTTCACAAGTAATTACTACTGGTTCTGGGAAAACAGAAAACATAACAATATTCTCTTGGAAACATTAATCATGGTTTTGTGAATGCGTGTCAGAAAGTTACACGAAGATGACAGTCTTAGTTTTGTGATAAATCGGTTGCAGTGCATCCCACGTAAATAAAGCACATCTATCTCAACAGGGATTCCCGAATCTTGTTAATGATAAACGATTCAGAATCAATTGAAGTATGAACAGGAAAGTTTTTTTGGCTTTAAAGAAAGAATATATTTTTGTTAGTTAAAGCTATTTTGCTTTTCTGCTGGAGTTAAGATAAAATGAATATTCGCTGCGATCTCTGGTGTTATGAAGTGTGTTATGGACGATATGTGACCCCTCCACAGGAAGTCAAACATTATCAGTAAGTAAGCAGTGATAAGCACAGCGAAATCAATAAGTACATAGAACGGCCATTAGCTTTCGGTGACAATACAAATGAATCATTTCCTTTCTGGTATTTCGTGGGAGAAGCAATGGAAGCCTTGTTTGTAAGTGAAGAAAAAATACAAAATTTAGCAAATTAAAGGGAAATTTTAAAAGCAGACAAGTCAAACATGGAGGGATAAGGTAATTTGTCATTTTCAATAGACTACCAGCAACACAGCCCAAATAAATTGATGTGTCCATCCAGTTGTCAGGGCTAAAGGGAGGTAAGCAATTGGAGTATTTAGAATAGATGTGTTAGAATCGTCAATTAGCAGAAATGGAAATAAGATAAAAATATTACCCTCAGCTGCATGTTTGGATAAAAGGAAAAGAAAGTCAAATTGATAAAATTATGTCCAACTTGAATACAAACTCTTATAGATTTATTCATATTACATATCAATTTTAAACGCTATAAATACACACTTTTATGGGTACATAAAGACTTATGCTAACAAATCTGTTGTACAATATATTAAGACATAATCGTAAACCAACCTTCTTCTGGAATTTAACAATGAGGAAATAAAAAATAAGAAAAACCCCCATCTTGAAACATTTAATTTAGAACTGAACTGCTTGGTTTAATACCATTTGGTGAGGACTGATGAAGTAATATATTTTCCTATTTTAAAAAACCCCACAAACTTTCAATTGAATGTGTGCTTCTGAGAAGTAAGCAATTTGCAGTAAAAACAGAATTATTTCTTTCTTTCCACAAGAAAAGTTCAATTTACTTCACTTGTTGGTTGGTTTATGATTCCAATGAACAGCTATGTCAGTTCTACAACATGCCATTCCCTAACTATACAGAAAATTAGAACGTATCAGTGATTCTTATTACAGGACAAATAACCCAAAAAAGCCAAAATGTTACACCATCAGTTGCTTTCACTCTGGAAATTATACACATCAATATTTTTATTTCTATGAGCACTAGAAGCTCTGCTACAGAGATGTAACTGTTTGTAAACCAAGTTATAAACTCACGTTCATCGGCGCTGACCTCCTCGCTACCACTTTGGTCTTTACTCTTCATGAACGGGAATTTTTTTGTGAAGGAGAAATTTTTCTTTTTCTTTTCATTAGCAGCTGCCTGTAGGCTACCATTGGACTGAAGCAGACAATACAAACAGTTTATCAGTAATAGGATCAAAAGTATTCAATGTACATTTTATTATTGTTCTTTCTTGCTACAGTCTAATACAGATATTATTGTTATTTCTTGCCACAGTTTAATAGATATTATTGTTCTTTCTTGCTACAGTCTAATACAGATCTTATTGTTCTTTCTTGCTACAGTCTAATACAGATCTTATTGTTCTTTCTTGCTACAGTTTAATACAGATATTATTGTTCTTTCTTGCTACAGTTTAATACAGATATTATTGTTCTTTCTTGCTACAGTCTAATACAGATATTATTGTTCTTTCTTGCTACAGTCTAATACAGATATTATTGTTCTTTCTTGCTACAGTCTAATACAGATATTATTGTTCTTTCTTGCTACAGTCTAATACAGATATTATTGTTCTTTCTTGCTACAGTCTAATACAGATATTATTGTTCTTTCTTGCTACAGTCTAATACAGATATTATTGTTCTTTCTTGCTACAGTCTAATACAGATATTATTGTTCTTTCTTGCTACAGTCTAATACAGATATTATTGTTCTTTCTTGCTACAGTCTAATACAGATATTATTGTTCTTTCTTGCTACAGTCTAATACAGATATTATTGTTCTCTCTTGCTACAGTCTAATACAGATATTATTGTTCTTTCCTAACAGATCCTTCAGTTATTTGTTCAATAATAAATTTGACACCTATTGGTAACAAATAATTCATTTGCTATAATTTTTGCAAAACTTCCAAATGAGAAAATGATAAATGGTCCAATGACATATGTTTCTATATATAACTATATATATTGTTCATGCTAATTTTGATTATGAGATGACACAAAATAACTATTTTTTGTGGTAGAAAACCAATTACATCATCAGCAATAACATCCTGTAAATCTGTTTTTGAATGACCTTGACTTTGACATGAGTAAATATATGGAAAAAAATAATCAAGAAGTTATATTCTTTGACAGCACATAAAATGAACAAATAACACTCAAGGGAGATAATCTGGTAGTCTCCCATTCATCAACAATTCTAGCGATTATTATACAGACACACAGACCATACAAATACTGAACTAATGAAACAAAATACATGTTGAACAATGAATTTGATTTGTTCTTCAAATAACTACACATTGAATAAGGGACACAGAAATAAAGAAAACAAAATCTTACCTTTTCACTTGTTTTTCCTGTGAATTTCACGTTTTTTAGCCGTGCCCTTTCCTTTCGATCCACACTGTAACATGAAACAGACATATTTATTTTTCTAGATGACCTTGTGAAAAGGAAGAAATAGGTCTTTCTGGTTAAATGTTTATAAGTGTCCAACCTCCAGTACAATGTTCTTGCCACAAAGCTGACAAAACTAGTCGGACACAAAATGCTTGCTTGTCATGTTGATAGGATGATAAGTTCGAACACCCAATTGTCCTGCCCAAGTTTGCACCAATAAGCTCTGGCTGAAATGTCACAGAGCAAGACCGGATCTGTACAAACCAACTTTGACCTTGTCTGTATCAATAAGTCTTGGACTAATAGGTCATATCAGCGACTCCTGCTGGGTCTGACCTTTGTCAATAAGCCCTGGTCAAGGGCTCCCGTAAATCTGTGGTGTGGGACCTCTAAGTGAGGTCTCCAATCTTTGATGTCACTGATACTGATGCAGTGGGCCAATGAGCAGAGTCTACACAGCAGTGAACCTGCACCACCATCAAACTGCAGTATTGACTTTCAGGCTTGTAAGTCTGGGGTGGGACAAGCCAGTTATCTGCATCATGTCTATACAAACTGCCTTCTTAAACACTGTTCATTATTTTGTGACATGTAGGCAGGGAATTATTCTCCTGGCAGAAAGTGAAGTCTGCCCCCTCTCCCAGCCGACTCCTTCCCGCTAAACCTGTTATTAGTTTACAGTAATAAATCGGGGGTAGCCCTGATCACAGACAGGGGCTATTAATCGAATATCAGGGATTTCTGCTCCAACAAATCATATGTGAAGTTTTTGTACAACAACCAAAGGCCCAATTATGCAGATTCCCTATTGCAGCTGATGTCAGCAAAGTTGAAACTTAACTAGATAAATCTGCAGATACCCAGCAGACTTAACATAGAAATGTGAGGTTTAACATCATTTTGCAGCATTGCAAATTAGTTTTTCATTTTACTTTCACAGCGAAATATTGATCCATCGATGCATATACAGAACCCTTCTATATACTTACTGAATGTGTAGGGGAAGGAGAGAACATCGCTTTGAGGTGTCGCTTTTGAACTGCGTCATATACTATATATTGTATTTTTTATAGAACTGGTCCACAGACAATGCTGTAAACATGGCTTAAAATGTTGTTTGAATTTTTTCATCAACTTTATATTGTTGCCTTTGAAATTAGCTATTGAATACCCTTTTGTTACATGTGAATTATCAACTAATTTGGCTTTTTAACTAATGAACATTTGAAACATGTCATTGGTAAGAAATCTTTTCAAAAGGAGATAAGGTATTCATGTATGTATATATTCATATACTTGCACTATATGTTCCCTACATGAAGCATGCAAATTAAGGTTTAAAGTTCCCCGAGCGGATGTGAAAAGATATAGGGTCACAAGGCTGACCACCTGGGTTTTCTACGGGTACTCCGGTTTCCTCCCACATTAAGACCCCCTGTATGCTATTGACTGATATTATAAGTTGTAATAACTTGTTCCACAACTGTTGTAAAATAAACAAACTTTATATTTCAAATTAAACGCGGGGTCATGTCATGCAGGGTCATGTACATCTTTTACTTATGGCACTAGTTTGATATTTGTCAATATGATGCTTAGCAGTCCACATCAAATTACACTGTGAATAGCTTTGAATCAGTCACGATTTTGGAGCGCTGTTCTGTCACCATTGTTTGATTTAAAGATACACACACAAAACACAGTAATAATTTGTAATACTAGCAACAATACAATAGCTTGCATAATATATTTAGCAAGACTTATCGGCATGAATCATGAAATATTCGTCATCCATTTGCATTCATACCTATAAAACAATTTTATTTTGATCTTTTCATGCATATAGATAGGTACACTAATGGCATACAATTTGGCCCATTGAAATTGTTTTTCCTTTACATTTTAAGGCGAAAAATATGGAGACAATCATCAATATGATTTTTCTATACAGATATGATGGTTTAGTGATTTTGCTGTACAGATATAAAGGTAGAGTGATTTTACTGTACAGATATGATGGTAGAGTGATTTTACTGTACAGATATGATGATAGAGTGATTTTGCTATACAGATATGATGGTAGAGTGATTTTACTAAACATAGATGATGGTAGAGTGATTTTACTGTACAGATATGATGGTAGCGTGATTTTACTGTACAGATATGATGGTAGAGTGATTTTAGTAAACATAGATGATGGTAGAGTGATTTTACTGTACAGATATGATGGTAGAGTGAATTTACTGTACAGATATGATGGTAGAGTGATTTTACTAAACATAGATGATGGTAGAGTGATTTTACTGTACAGATATGATGGTAGAGTGATTTTGCTATACATATATGATGGTAGAGTGATTCTACTGTACAGATATGATGGTAGAGTGATTTTGATATACATATATGATGGTAGAGTGATTTTACAGTACATATATGATGGTAGAGTGATTTTACAGTACATATATGATGGTAGAGTGATTTTGCTATACATAAATGATGGTAGAGAGATTCTACAGTACATATATGATGGTAGAGTGATTTTACTGTACAGATATGATGGTAGAGTGATTTTGATATACATATATGATGGTAGAGTGATTTTGATATACAGATATGATGGTAGAGTGATTTTACAGTACAGATATGATGGTAAAGTGATTTTATATACAGATATGATGGTAGAGTGATTTTACAGTACACATACGATGGTAAAATATAACAGAAATAAACTGACCGTTTCTTACTGGGAATGATACCCATGCCCTCCTCCTCTCCATCGGGCGTGACTCGCTTCGCCTGCCACCACTCATCGTCACTGGCGTTCGTCACATGTAAAATATCTCCATAGCGGAACGGCAGCCCTTTACTGGGCAGACCACTGTCTTTGGAAGGATCGTAGTCAAACAGCGCTCTGAAACACAACACTAACACTGAGACCTGGATTGTACACAGTAGTCAAACAGCGCTCTGAAACACAACACTAACACTGAGACCTGGATTGTACACAGTAGTCAAACAGCGCTCTGAAACACAACACTAACACTGAGACCTGGATTGTACACAGTAGTCAAACAGCGCTCTGAAACACAACACTAACACTGAGACCTGGATTGTACACAGTAGTCAAACAGCGCTCTGAAACACAACACTAACACTGAGACCTGGATTGTACACAGTAGTCAAACAGCGCTCTGAAACACAACACTAACACTGAGACCTGGATTGTACACAGTAGTCAAACAGCGCTCTGAAACACAACACTAACACTGAGACCTGGATTGTACACAGTAGTCAAACAGCGCTCTGAAACACAACACTAACACTGAGACCTGGATTGTACACAGTAGTCAAACAGCGCTCTGAAACACAACACTAACACTGAGACCTGGATTGTACACAGTAGTCAAACAGCGCTCTGAAACACAACACTAACACTGAGACCTGGATTGTACACAGTAGTCAAACAGCGCTCTGAAACACAACACTAACACTGAGACCTGGATTGTACACAGTAGTCAAACAGCGCTCTGAAACACAACACTAACACTGAGACCTGGATTGTACACAGTAGTCAAACAGCGCTCTGAAACACAACACTAACACTGAGACCTGGATTGTACACAGTAGTCAAACAGCGCTCTGAAACACAACACTAACACTGAGACCTGGATTGTACACAGTAGTCAAACAGCGCTCTGAAACACAACACTAACACTGAGACCTGGATTGTACACAGTAGTCAAACAGCGCTCTGAAACACAACACTAACACTGAGACCTGGATTGTACACAGTAGTCAAACAGCGCTCTGAAACACAACACTAACACTGAGACCTGGATTGTACACAGTAGTCAAACAGCGCTCTGAAACACAACACTAACACTGAGACCTGGATTGTACACAGTAGTCAAACAGCGCTCTGAAACACAACACTAACACTGAGACCTGGATTGTACACAGTAGTCAAACAGCGCTCTGAAACACAACACTAACACTGAGACCTGGATTGTACACAGTAGTCAAACAGCGCTCTGAAACACAACACTAACACTGAGACCTGGATTGTACACAGTAGTCAAACAGCGCTCTGAAACACAACACTAACACTGAGACCTGGATTGTACACAGTAGTCAAACAGCGCTCTGAAACACAACACTAACACTGAGACCTGGATTGTACACAGTAGTCAAACAGCGCTCTGAAACACAACACTAACACTGAGACCTGGATTGTACACAGTAGTCAAACAGCGCTCTGAAACACAACACTAACACTGAGACCTGGATTGTACACAGTAGTCAAACAGCGCTCTGAAACACAACACTAACACTGAGACCTGGATTGTACACAGTAGTCAAACAGCGCTCTGAAACACAACACTAACACTGAGACCTGGATTGTACACAGTAGTCAAACAGTGCTCTGATACACAACACTAACACTGAGACCTGGATTGTACACAGTAGTCAAACAGCGCTCTGATACACAACACTAACACTGAGACCTGGATTGTACACAGTAGTCAAACAGTGCTCTGAAACACAACACTAACACTGAGACCTGGATTGTACACAGTAGCAAAATAATTATCTATCAGTTCTATTTCAAGCTATTATTCTATAGAAATAAAAACAATGTGTGTCCCTTTGTGTTACAATTGTAATAGCCACTACTGGCGATTAGATTTACATCGGTATATTATATTATTGATTAAATTGTATATTGCTGTCAATGATCACTTAGATTTACATAAGTATAATACTTGCAATCTTTTAGATTTCCATTAATATATTACTGTCAATTACTGGATTTACAAAAGTAATATTAGTGTCAGTCACTAAGATTAACATAAGTATAAAATCTGCCAATCACTTTGATTTCCAGATGTATATTTCTGTCACTCATTTAGATTTACATTAAAACTGAAACTTACTCAGAATTACATTTGTATTTCTTTAAATTACTTGAATTACATAAGTACATTACTGTCAATCAGTTAAATTTACATAAATAAAATACTTTCATTCATATTTTAATAACGATATTATTGTCCATTACTTTGATATACCTAAGAATATATTTATCTGGCAATTAGCCCATGCCTGATAGTACTAGCCCACCTATACTTACAATTTTGTGAGGTATATACTTTTATGATCATTTGTGAGTGGGTCAAAGGTGTCTTCAAAAATATCACAAGTATTTATTCATGTAAAATTAAACAAGGGACATTAATCTGTTTTAATATGGTTCTGATTCATTTATATCCTTGTGAATCAATCCTTTTAGGACCTGTTACAAAAATAAATACTCAAGAAATTTATATGAAGAACAGTTGTAAAAATAAATATTAGCAAAATTTATGCACAGTATATGATAAATGTAAACAAAATTGTTACATACGTTTAGGCCTTGTTAATTACTATTCCCGAGGTTCCTATCTATAGAAATAGACAACAGGTAGTACACTAGAAATTGTCACAAGATTTGAACTGGTGGATTTTTTTACATTCCTGATAGGTGATTTCTAAGGTGAAATGAACGGCCCTTTCCCCTTGGACAATTTCTGCTGTATTGTCACAAAATCACGCTGCTTTGTGGGTGTTATTTTACAAAGCCACTAGACTCTTGTGGAAAAGGGGTAAAAACACCTCTGCTGATGGCAGCAACGCTTTCCCTTTAGACTACATACCTCACGTAAAGTGTTCGTTTCTGTGTGGTTCGTAAGCTTCCTGTGCTCGTGTTCATCATTTGTTCCCGTAAATCCTGAATCTTGGCTTCGAATCGGTTGTATTCTGAAGTACAGAAAAGACACATGCAATGAGTCTTACGTTGGTGGGTTTATAACTGTATCTAATAGTCCTCATATCTCAACAATCTTCTGTTCCAACTCAATATTTCCCCAGCACCCTCTTGTATTCACAGCACACTGAAGGAAACGGTGCAGACTCGAGTTATCTGCAGCTAATGATTTCCCTTTTATAGCCTTCTTATACTACACAATATTCTCCAATGCAGGCAATATTACTTGTCTATCATTGCACACCACTAGCATCAACAACAAACAGTATTCTCTCAGCCATTCAATAGCTTTTCTTCTATATTCTTAGACAACATATACTAAACACGGAAATGATTGCTTTGTAGTGCGCACGTACTTGATAACACACTTGTACCATCAAATCAACAATCTTAGCACGAGTTTTCAAATAAAACGCTTCTACAATGCATGTCTGAATATTTTACAGCTAAAATCTGGTCTGTACTTTTTGAGTATAAAAGAAGTGGTCAGGTCTGTATATAACGGGGCTGGGTATGACACGATGTGTTTATTTTCTTCTCCTGCTGCCAGGGTAATTACCAACACACACAGAACAATTACTGTACGCTGGCTTCTGTAACTTCCTTCACACTGGATCAGACAGAACCCATTGATTTCATCTCTCCACAGAACCACACAGGTCATCTAAGGCTTATAGACCTGCAAACCCATCACTCGGTTTCGGTCAACACGACAGACAAACGCAAGTTCGGCCTGCCTATCCCAGCGGCCCTGTATAAATGTCTCCTTGTAGCATGAAGGTAACAAACTCAAATTTCTGCAGGTCCCCACAGGGCCATTCCTATCTTTTACATAGAATTACAGACGCTGTTACCCAAGGGTCTCTTATGGAACCTTCATGGTCAATTATGGTGTGTTATTCAAAGCAAATATATGGTCCCAAGCCGACTATTACTTTGTGTAAATAACATACTCTCTAATAATAATCTGAGGGAAACAATCAAAAGTAGGCTTAGTTCAACTAGGGTAAGTTGTTACTTACTGTAGGTCATCTAACACTTCTTATACATGTGACTAACTGTAGGTCATCATACACTTCTTATACATGTTACTAACTGTAGGTCATCTAACACTACTTATACATGTTATTAACTGTAGGTCATCTAACACTTCTTATACATGTGACTAACTGTAGGTCATCATACACCTCTAATACATGTTACTAACTGTAGGTCATCCAACACTTCTTATACATGTGACTAACTGTAGGTCATCATACACCTCTAATACATGTTACTAACTGTAGGTCCCCATACACTTCTTATACATGTTACTAACTGTAGGTCATCCAACATTTCTTATACATGTTACTAACTGTAGGTCATCTAACACTACTTATACATGTTACTAACAGTAGGTTTGTAGAGGGCTACTATTTCTACAGTAACTACTCACCATCTGGGTTGTAGAGGGCTACTCTTTCTACAGTAACTACTCACCAGCTGGTTTGTAGAGGGCCACTATTTCTACGGTAACTACTCACCATTTGGTTTGTAGAGGGCTTCTTTTTCTACAGTAACTACTCATCATCTGGTTTGTAGAGGACTACTATTTCTACAGTGACTACTCACCATCTGGTTTGTAGAGGGCTACTATTTCTACGGTAGCTACTCACCATCTGGTTTGTAGAGGGCTACTATTTCTACTGTAACTACTCACCATCTGGTTTGTAGAGGGCTACTATTTCTACGGTATCCCCTGCACCCTTTAATGTTGCTGCTGCTTCTTCGTGCGTTGCTAATCTCAAGTCATGGTTATTTACCTGCAACACAATAAAGAATAAATCTCAAGTTTTATTACACACAGCTGCATGCTCCTTAATGGATACATATTGTATCAGGTAGCAGATTGAATGGAAGTGATAATCAGGACACTGTTTTTTTTGGGAAAAAATGTTTGAGAAGACAAGTTTTTTCGGAGGGCCTGAATCCAAAGAAGGTCAAACATTGCAGATTGACTAAAGGCATACGCTTTTCTTCAAACTGAACACAGGGCAGCTTAACCTAGCAAAACCTAGGATAACAAAGGGCCATAACTCTGTATTGTGAACTACAAGACCTGATTTCATTATGTGACACTGCCATTCAAAGAGGTACTCACAATTTTAGGTGAGAAGAGTTTAGGACAAAGTGACACAGTTATGATGGACAGAGTGCAAAACTTAAGGTGGAAGACTAAATAATTAGTCTAATTAAACCCATAAACTGGTTAGCAATGATTACATTAATCTTTATATTGATAATTACTTTCCATGTGTTAATGTCATCAAATATTTTCAACACATTTTAAAAATGTAATACCAGATGATGATTTTTTGTTTAGACATATCTTAAAGAATTTAAACATAGACTTACAGACAGAATTTGATCCCCTCTGCGAAGCTCTCCTCCGAGATCGGCTGGACCACCTGCCAAAATGAACGACACAAATATTCCCTCTCCGTCCTCTCCTCCCACTATGTTAAAACCTAGACCCGTGGAACCTTTCTTTAGGGTGACTTTCCTAGGCTCCCTGTAACGATAAAACAAACATGGAAATCAATCCTCTAATTACATACACAGATCCCAGAAATACCGCTACCAACAACTGACAGATACGGTTCTATAGGCATAACTACACATGATCTGGAATTAAAACGTTTAAACAGATACATAATATATACAATATCCATATACAGTGTGGGAACACTGAACCACGCTACAAGGAAAGAACGAAACCGTTTTATAGCAAATTTTTCAAGAGGTATTTTCTTCAAATTTCCGGATCAAAGTATCTTTTGTAGATCCACTTTAAACTGTACCCTAAACAAGGATGTTTTTAAGTGAGCAGAATAACAGAACTGTCCCTGTAAAAAAGAAACAAAGTATGAAGAATAAGTACAAACACTCACAATGTAAGTTCCTTGGCGACCCTTTGTAGGCTGCATTTACCAGGAAGTTGCAGTTTTTTACAAGTATTTTTTCTGAATTTAGTTTTTTAAGCATTTCATAATACCAAGTGCATTTCTGATATTATTTTTCCAAAAAATAAGATTTTACATTACTTACATATCTAATATTTTTATACTTTGCTATTTCATTTAGGTGTTCAATACTTTTCATTTGCAACAATTCTTTAGCACATTGTAGTCTGAGCACCTCCAGGTTCCATTGAAGATCAGATCGAACTCGACTTGAAATTTTGCTTCTTATCATTACTTTTATTGTCATTTTTTTTTAATAAAGAAATATTGAAATTTGCTCCATGTTATTCGAGTCCTGCACACTTCATTGTCCTCCCTTTAGGAGAGTCTCCGTGCTTAACATGGCCTGTCTTACTGTCAGTACTAGTTAGGATGTTCTCCGTCTCAACTCTTCCCAATCATGATAGGATATGTGGACACACTGCCAAGCCTGTTATTAGATTTAGCTGAGGTACCTAAGCCTTATAAAATCGACCATTAAACAGTGTTAGCCACGTCACAGCACCCATTCATTCTCATTACACCGCCATCAGGTAGAAAAGACTCCTGAGAGCTTAATGAGAAATTACATTTTTAAGTACTTCTAAAAAATGTACGATTGTTATTTAACAGTTTGTTATTACAGTTTGCCTCTTCCTATCAATTTCTTGTTACCAAAACTAGAGCAATTATCGCATCACATTTACTGTGTATTTTTACTGCAGCACTGTTTTTGCAATATTTACTCTGACAAAGCAAAACACTATTAAACCTTCAGTACAGCTTTCAGCTTCACTGTAATGGGTGAAAAGCCAGATCATGAATTAAATATTACCCATAATTATCTTGATTTTTGTTTTAGAAAATCTGAAGTTGTTTGCACCTGAATAATTCAAATAAGCCTGGGTGTTATTCGGAGTTAGAACGGTATATATGTATGGTATTCAATGGGTGTGATCGTCAGTAAGTACGGTATAGATTTGTGTAGATGAATGAGACTTCACTATCTCGGTGTAGGCTCACAATCTATCAAACCGTACCCCCTTATTAATGACTTAGATAATTACAACAGAGAAATAAAAAGTGCCTCCTGTGAGGAGGAGGAGGGTACTCCGGGCCAACTACAGTCACAGCACTATAGATCGTATTCTTTGAATTCATTTGCCTCTCAATCTTAACCAGCTGATGTATTATTGTTTTAAACCAGTCAGGAAGGTGTTGTTTCAAAGTGCATAGCCTCTAGTGCCTGTGAGTACATCTGCACTGTCCGAGTAAAACTTCCTGTAGAAAACAGGCAATCCGCTGAGTACACTGGAAACTAAACTTAAGTAGTAATAGCAGCCTGTATCATCTCTTTACAGTCTGTTACCCATATATATTCTTTGCCCCACATACATATATATATATACAACACACTCAATGACCTCTGCCCTTTCACCTCCACAACCTTTCAGATTAAAGTCCAGGGTTTTGACAGCCTTTCTGAATGTAATCTCAACAAATATTCTCAAAAGTGATTTGAGGGTTTATACATATTAAGCCAATTACCAAATGCTCTTGAGTACAAGTATATATAAATCATGTAATTAAGACCGAGGCTTCATTACTGAACTTCTATGGTAGTTTAGGCTCTTCCTTGGTGATCGTACAAGGATTTCCAGGGGTAGCATAGAGTCCCTTTAGGTAAAGACTACTGATGATACTTTATATATCCTGCATTAAGTCCCCGAGACCACCACATACTCTGTCACTCAAAGTGTGGGGGATGGGCCTATAGCAGGACAATGAAAATAACATTTGATTGCATTTCTACTGAACTGACACTATTTGAGTGGGCTTATTTCCAGGCATGGGCTTATGGTAGGATGAATACGGTACATAAAACATATCTGTAGGGTGATAAAGTTCACTTTTTTCTTATTTCTAATTTATCAGGCATATTGTAGCCTTGGGGAACGTGTACAATTCCAATTCCATTATAACATACAAAATCCTATCTGACATCAATACTCAGAACAGCTCGCCAATATTTCAACAAAATGGTTCTGCCAAATTTAAAGACTTTCATTTTATTTCATTTTATCTACATTTCATTCACATTTCAAATCAAAATGGTATCAGACAAATTCTGCCAAGTTGTAAGACAGCTGTAAGTATTTCACTGATATTTGACAACTCTAAATCTCAATTGTATGAGACAAAGCCTTCCCATGATGGCTGACATGTGCTACATACCAAAGATACTCCTACGCAAATCTAAAATGTTGCCACCTCTCCCAGCTGTGATCAATAAGCAGATCGTGCTCACCCCAGTAAGTTCTACATCTACAGCTCCACAGTAAGTATGATAATTACACATCACATTTCATAACCTCATCACGATCTCCACACAAGTTCTAACAGATATTACCACGACAGCAGACTGTTATGGTTCAGTACATCCTGTTGTTGGATCTACGATCAGGGTTTATGTAAAATCTTAGCTTGCTTTCCAATCACTTACTACATTCATACATCTTGGTTAATCGATTGAAATAGTGATTAATCAATACAATCCAGCTCCTTCAGTGATAAGTACATGTTGAGACGACTTACATTGACGATAGGCAACAGTGTCCGTATACTCAGAAACCAATTTAAGCCTTAGATAACCACCATCAACTTATCTTTATGAATGAAACATTTCCATTAAATATTTTTACAGATAGTTTTTGTAATTATCTTATTCATGAATGGCAGTAAAATAGATAGGAAATGTTTGCAAATGACTTAAGCTGTATTCCAGAGTTAACAACCACACAAGTGTGGTTCTGTGAGACGTACAGGCAAGGGTCTGTGACAAGGAGGGACACCCCCCCTAATAACTTCTCTATAGTGTACACCAACATCCTCTTTAGCAGTTCCAAAATAAAGAAACCTAAATATAGGCAGACATATTGGCTTGTCAGCAGAATAATGTCATTATATTTTCACCAAAGATGGTCACTCAGGCAGTTGATTGGAGTATTTTATAATATCACAGCTAAATGTGGGAAACAATCTCATGACTCTGACAGTTTTGGCAACAGTCTGTCAGCTTTCTCAGGGATGAGTTAAATATTATATCTTTCAGCGTGTCAGGAGAAGCTTATTACGCCTATTGAAGTGTGGATGCCTGTTTTATATCGCAATAAAAACTACATTAGCAGCCTTATTAGCTGCCATATCAATGTTTGGCAAGAAACCTGAAATACATCTGTTTTGTTTTGGCTTGGATACAATGCCCCCTCCCCAATACATTACACACTTGTAGGTGAGTAAACCTCATTTATACTATTTACTCCATCATCTTAATGAAATAAATTCTGTGGATGTCATCAATAGCCATTCAGTTTTCAAGGCAATTAAAACGTTTTTAAAATATCTATAAAACTGTAGCAAGAAATATAGAAACGCAACCTAAGTTTTTAACATAGATCTTCTGCGACTGGCACCAAGAAGCATTTTGAGATTGAGAACAGTGGTATCAGCTATCAACAAACTTGTTTTTTAGCCGTTGAATTATCTCCCTGGCATATCAGTGGCCCCCACTATGTGGATGTTAACACCTTGGATGACCATAGAACACTATAGCTACCATGTCTACACTGAAGACCAGAGAACTAGGATTCCAGCTACCAGGTAGATACTTATAGCTACCCAGTCTATATTGGTCCAATTTCATGCTCCTGCAAATTGTTTTATCAGTCATTTCTTTGAGAAGTAATCAAGTTAAAATTCACATCCATACAACAAGTCTTGTTTCTCTGCCAACTTCCAAGGCGAGTACGTAAACCTGGCTCAGAGCTATAATTTGTTTCCCTAACCCTTGTATCTCTGAGCAGTTAATGGCATCCTAAACCTGTTTATATATGAACTGCAACAGAAATTTCCTTTTCCTAACACAATTATAATTTTTACCAATAAAACTGAAAGCTTCAAGAAGCTTTGAGCCTGATTAGATTTATCAAACATGTCAAACTCGACACAGAAATATAGCCTGCCACCTGTAACGATCCACACTTCATTACGTATTAACCATGCAACCTCATACATTTTTTTTACCAACAGTAGCGGTGGAAATATGATTTGTGTTCCATTACAACGGCAGCATGCACAAGATTTATAAAATAAAGAAAGTACAGGGAAATGGTTAATGAAATGACTGGTAGTCACACATGTCTTATATACAAGCTAGCTATGTAGGTCTATTTTTTCCAAAACCCGAGGAAAATTCAACCACTGTTATCAAATGCATTAAACGCCAAATCCCAAATACATTCAGTTTTTTGCAATATCAGGTGTTGCATACCTGTATTTGTAGCATACCTGTATTTGTAGATACCTGTATTTGTAGATACCTGTATTTGAGTCATGTTTAAATTCAGTTACATTTGATACCCAAGCTTTTTGAAAGAATAACGGCTTTTTTGTTTCTGCAATCAATTTTCTTGTTTTCGGTATTACTGTGAAATAAACACAGTTGTAAATAGTTATTTCCTATAGCAGCAAATGGCTGCTTAAGTCAGGAAATTTTTATATACCTTCTGTT